CGAGTCGTACGAAACGGCTTCAGCCGTGGTCCAGGTGTCGACTGAGTCCTTGCTTCACTGGTGCATGCCGTACCCGCCCACCAGACCAGTGGTCCGCATAAGTGAGAACCCCGCCGCGTTGACAGCCTGGGGCACAGATGGACGTCGCCGAAGTGTAACATAGATGGCGCTGATATGACAGGTGGCGCCACCGCTGACGATGTTGGCTGTTTAGGGTCAAAGGTATTTGGGTGGCGGCCAACAGAACGTATATAAAAATCACTTATGGAAATGCCTGGTAAGATATGACACGTATGTGTAACGTTTGTCAGGATAAAGTGCATAAGGTATCAAGTTTGTAGCAGCCGAAGTTCATGACGGCGGATGTACGCATAGTTTTGCCGTAAAAGGTCGTAAGTACCTGTTCCTATCCGAATGTTCGGGCACGAATGTTGTTCGATTATAACGCGCGTTCTGCAAAATTACGTAAACAAAGGCTCGCATATCGACATTTTACGTAAGCACACCGGGTTTCTCGACAATATTCGCCAGGGATGAAGGACGTTTGACGATAGCACGTACGCAAAACTTCGTATGCAGATGTGTACTGACAGTTGACATACAGGCAGTCATTCTTGATGCCATGTGCCGAATAGATGGTAACTGCAGAGGCCACCACACTCCGTTGACTGGGGAGAAGACGGGGTAAGGGGGTGGCGGTAGACGGTGACAATTATGTAGGCCAGGTACAGTATTGTGACAAACGTAACTCTTAGGACATGCAACGCACGTTCTGAGACCATCAGCAAATAAGATCGGATCATTTAGGGCTGTAGAAGATGGCCCTTGAATGGAAGGTAAAACACGCCCGCTGCAGATTACCTGCCGAGTTTGCTGTGCTTTTATAAGGGCATTGTTTACACTCGACCCAACATTGGGCGAGAGTATCATTTTAAAGCTATACTTGAATAAAACTATGAAGTACGCACTGAAATTCATGCGTTTTGTCATCCCCGGAAATCAGATTTCATCGGAATTTAAGAGCCGCTGACGCATAATTTGGCGCTCTCCGAGCCGGTCTGTTCTGGAACACTCCGCAAACAAGTGTCATCCGCCATCCCGAAATCAATTTTTTTTCATTCGTCACCGAATGCTTAACGTGCATTATTCTCGGAGAATGTAGTGCACCCACGGCCATCCGGTTATTTGCCTACGCTGCAAACGAACCTTTACGCACGTGATTTTGTCAAACCAAGTCTACCTGCTTTGAACATCTGCGCACGTTCAATTGCTTACGAACAATGGTGTACGTACCCCACGCATAATTGCGTAAAAAAGTTCGATGCGAACTTTTCTCCGGACGACCTATTGTTTATACAAACATTTCCCATGCGTACTTCGTGTCATGAAAAAATTTGCTTACAATTTTTTGGGTACCTGCTTTTGCTTACGTGCTTCTTCCAAACGAACTTCGCACCCTGCGTACATTTGCTCATGAACGATTGAGCACATACTTAACATATACGTACTCTTTCCATTAGTACATTGATGCAAAAACCCAATGAAAGTTAAGGTTCTTCAGGTAGGTACAAGATGCAAGATGCTACACATTAAGTTTCCGGACTCGCGCAAGCTCAGGAGAGTTGTTGGTGACCTCTGGGCTTTTGGTGGGTATTCTATTGGTGTTATTGTTAATCTCATTATAATGCAGGAGCCCGATTCCGCCCGATAACGTCCCGATTCTGCCGGTGTAAGGCGAAGCCTGACACCAGTGGCTTCATGTAGAGGTCCTCGAAACTTACAGCAGCCATGGGAAAGAAAGGGGCTCAGATTATAGCGTAAGGTAATATTTGCGCGTTCACAAATAGAGATAGATTACGCACACCGCTTTGAACCCTTGTGTGATAAATGTTCAAAATGAAATGTGCAGTGTAGAACGAAGTGGGAATCCGAGAAAGTGGTATAATATGTTAATGGGGGTCGGGAATTCAATTGACGACAGATAACTACAAGAGCACGCGGAAGGTCTCGCGCACAAAGTTTGGAATAATCGAGATGTCCCGCAAATCAAATTGGCAATGTTACGAGGCTTGTAACTCGGAAAGCTACGCAAAATCACGCCATCAGTCTTTGATTCTCACAACCGGTATGCCGACAAAACCCCGCACTTCAATTTAGACACAGTCGGAACTGCTGCCATCTGCTGCTAGATTGACGAACGTGTGCTGCCAAAACGTCCGGCGAGGCCTTATTACCGTAAGCGAACCCATTATCGTCGTGCATCACGATCGCGTTCGGCACCTCTGTTATTTCGGTCATGGCCGCATTCCCCATTACCAACAGCTGTCCACAAGTTGCAACCTATGACGTCAGAGGTAAGTGCGTCACAAAAGCTCCTACGGCTTGGAGGATAGTCGCTCATGTATGACGTAGCTACTCGCAACGTCATAGGTAGCCATTCAGATAGGTGCTTTGCCAATGAGGAACGCGGCCCAGGGGTCCGAGGTGTCCGCCCCGATAGCTCAGTTGGTTAAAGCGCCTTGCCTTCCGATCCACCCATCCGTGGAGGGGTAGGCCTGGGCCCCTTCAGGCGCTGGCTGTTTGCACTCGACTAGTATGACCTGTGGCCGGTGGCAGCGGCTGCGCAAAAGGTCAGGTGACGTCAGAGAGCAGCACGACCCGTGTCAAACATTGTGGCGCGTTAAAGTGTCACCACTAGAATTATGACGTCGACCCGAAAGTTCGCAATCGGCAGGAGTTGGCCTGGGCCGTTAGACAGCCTTGGCCTGGGCTCACCAACCTCGGGCTCACCAGGCTCACGCACCTGACGCAGCAAGCACTTCTTGGCGTTTGATCTGATCCCAGAAATCCGTCCATTCAAAAGGTTGAGACCAGGGGCATAGTTTCCTATTAAGTTCGGGGCTCTAGCCCCCCCCCCTTCTTCCAACTTTGCGATCCAGCCCACCAGGTTTGAGAAGGAAGTGGATGGTATCGGGAAAAACCCCGTTTTGTTGGCTTATTTTAAGGACAGTTGTGTCCTTTTCACTCCTCAACCTCCCCACCCGAACTCATTTGGTGAAACTATGCCTTCGTTACAGTATATTTTGTATGTGACGCATGTGTGAATTATGCCGTAATACAAATCCCCAATGCCATAAAAGCGGCGAAACACAACTGTCAGGAGCACAGCCAGTCTTGGTAAGTGGTGGGACGGAGGGTTCGAATGGCAGGTGGCGAAATGCCGTCCCAAACAAATAATTTGCCTCACTACTGAATTCTGGAAAAGGATGGACTTTCTCAGGCTAACATGGGTTGGCAGAGGAAGTTCTTTGTTTTGGCCTCATTTCGTCCTCTCTGGAAAACAAATAAATGGGACCCCTTATTTTTTCAGGCAAAGGAGTCCGTGAGTAGATCACTAGGGACACATTATCGTTGCCGGTGAGGGCATTAAGGGGTTTTCCTGCACAGCGCGGGGTGCGTACCGGCTGCCATTCTAGTCCACATGGGGGCGGGCTTCCCTGGTCGATCTGGACGCCCTTCAGAGGAATATATCATACAATGCTCCTGACGCACGATGCCCTCCGACCCACGCAGCTGGCCCTGGATCGACGTAGGATGCCATCTGACCCGAGCAGCTGACCCCGGATCGACGCAGGGGCCATGATTGACGAAAAAGATCCTTATCTCCACAGGGGTACCATAATTGGGACATACTCCTACTCGGCTTAACGGGCCCTTGACTGAATGGGTCGGAGGATACTGGGACCCCAGACTGGCACAGGGCCCTTCCATATATCGATGTGGATTCTCGTTTCCCATCGAAGGTTCTCTTATGTTCTTTTACTGTCAGAAGACCCAACCCAACGAAAGAAGCGTTCTGCCCTTTGGGGTCTCATCCCTGCACCTGTTCAGCAATGGCTTCCATAGCGCCTCGGGGCCCCCTGTCGACTCAAAAACCTTTGTTAGGCACTATGATTCACCGACCGATACAGGCCCCTCATTGCTGCAGGGACCCATCACAGTGCAAATCGTGGGCCCGACCATGTTGCGGCTTGAGTAATTGTCCCCAAGGGCCGACACCGACGCCGAGCTGACTGCTCGATGTAGTGATCTTTGGTCGAAATAGAGGCCCTTATTGTGCCACAAGGTTCCCAATCGGTGCAAGGGGCTCTCTGGCTAACATTTGAGGTCCCGTCCTTGCGGACTAGGGTCCTTACGTGACTTACAGCAAGCCATTCGGAGCCTTCGGCCATCCAATCGCGCCCTTCGTCGACTGGCCTGAGGCCACTGTGGGCCCCTTCAACACCGCCCCTGGACGAATCGGAGCCTCTTGCCAACACTTACCCCCTGTTAGGGACCGTGGGCCCCTGGCCGACAGATAGGCTTACAGCCGACAGAGGGGCCCTCATTAGCTCAGGCGTCCAGACGAATTCAAATTGCGGGCCGCAGCCAGCCCTGCTTGGAAAATGAGCCCTCAGGCCGACTTGGGGCCCTTACCAAGATAAAACAATTTTGTACAGCGTGGGCACATGGCGGGTACAGAGCCCCACATTGACTGAGAAGCCCCGGCTAATACAAATAGCGGGAACCGACCTCGTTTCCGCTTGGAAGATGATTCCGGAGCTCAGAACGACACGAAACCGACTGTTTGATAATGATGGTTCCTGCCTTCATTGCTTCAAGCGGCCCTCAATCGGCCCAAAGGGCCCTGTAAATATTATGTGAAAGTCAGGCCCTTCGGGTCGTGGCACGTTAGTACGCCCTCGGGCCAGACCGTCGGGACCTTTGAGCCCTCTAATCAGCTCCTTAGTGATCCATCATGGGGATCACTTGCCTCATGTGCTGCCTGCCCCCGCGACTACGCCACTGGATGCCAGTTACGGGTTGCCGCCGAAATGACTTCCAGTGACGTAAGATACCAGCTCTGTCGGATTATATACAAGCTGCTTGGTAAGTTTATGCCGAATTTAGGACCTTGACTGAGGTCCACGGAGAGCGTTTGGGTCGTTCTGGGTTGGGCGTCGTCTCCGGACCCGCTCCTGCGGCAGCGGCGAGTGGCAGCGCGTGGGTGAACAGTAGGTGGTACAGGATTGTAGGACATTAGCACAGGAAGGGGATACAGAGCACGTTTTTCCCTGCTGTCTCTGAATGATAGATCCCGGATTGAGCATTGGTGGAGCCGGGTTGACTGTTGTACAGGTGAGAGGTTAATACCTGTTAAGACAACATATAACTCATGCAGTTAATCACAGGCAGCATTCACTTAGTTCATGGTCCAATTCAGTTTGCACGTCCCTTCAGTTTTCACTTCATGATATACTGTTCTTTATCATACCACCACTCACGGTCTCAGTTGATGATGTTTTATTGGTTGTTAGGTGGTATGGGTATATGTTTAAATTACTCATGAATGTGTGCCAACTTGCAAAAAATTCAACCACTACTCAGGGTGCTTACACAACACTGTCGGATTATTCAAACTCTTACCTTTTATGGTTCAAATTCATGGCATTCATTTGCTATTATTTGCCTGATGTGCCATATGAAGGCATTAACATGCATTTTTGTGCTATGAGCTGTGTGTACAACCCCATCCAGTGCTCCAGATCATTTATACATGGATTGTGGATGTTAAAATTGTTGTTTGTTGCCCCTTGTTCTTTGATTTTTCATATGTATTGATGGCAAAGCTTCATATGGTAATCTGAGCTACTTGGATATGTTTGAATTGTGACTAAATTATATGTTGTGATTTGGGCTTGCTTGAGATCCTGCCTGACTTGACTGATGATAATATGCATCTTTCCAGTAAGGCAGGCAGTTGCTGGAAACTGTCTTGGTTCTCCAAACACGTAGCAAAATTGTGAAGCGAGGGGTGCAACATAGGGGCACTCATTTCATCTGAAGAAGTGAAAAGCTTGTGCAGAGTGGGTGCTTTGTTCAAGAAGGCTATAAGTTTAAAAAAACTGCATTTCATTCAAGGGATTGTGCAAGTACAAAGAGATGATATCCTGTAGAACAAAGAGGAAGTTCTGATGACACTTCCTTCAACAAAACAAGCTGTCAGTGTCTGAGTTAATACCAGTTCTTGGTACATTTGGTACTGTGTATTGAAATATGAAGTAAAGCCACAAATATGCTGCCAATGTATTGGGGCCTCTGACTGAGGCCAGGGGAGTTCCAAAACCTCAAAAGACTTACAGCACAGGTAGATCACTGTTATTGGATAAAAAATTCATGACTTCTCAAACATTGTTGGTACATGTCTGTCCTGGTATCTCAGTTGGTTAGAGCAACTGCCTTCCCATCCATCCACTCCTGGCAGGGTAGGTTTGAGTCGCCTTGGCGTTTGCTATTTGCTCTTGACAGTTATGGCATGGGGTGGTGGCGACAGAGGTTGCACTAAAGGTCTGTCAATGTAGGGGGCATGAAGGACTATGCCAAGCATTGTGGCATGTTAGCTTTTGCCACTGAATGCTGCCTTTTCCAGGAATTGTGCCATCGGATGACTGGGTTCTGGGCTCACACAACAAACACTGCCTAGCAGTACTTCTGATCCCAGGAATTCATCCATTCAATGGGGTTGGATCAAACTTCTTAAAATAAGTTATGACTGTGAGGCACCCCAGTGATTTAAAGCCAGACTTCCCTTGCTGTAATTTGGCTGTGTGGCAAAATGCTTATATCTGAGAGTTTCAGAACATGAACACAGCAAGGATAGATCTGTGCAAAATTTCAGTGTTGTGTTGCTAAATTCATTGAAAGCTTGCCCTTTTTATCCAAGCAAGAGCATAGCTGTCATTTGACAAGCTGGTATTGTCAGGTCTTGGGAGAGGTATGCTTTTAATTGATTGATGTTACTGTACCTCAAGAACAGCAGCAATCTGGGAGTCAGGATCAAAGTCTTGGTAGGAGCATTGGCTTTTCCCCAACCTGCACTGGGCCTCATGATACTCCTGGCACTGGCAGTGGTCCAGTTGGCTTATGATCTAGCACCACAGTTGAATGTTCTTGCCCTGCATCACCCCTTCCACCCTGACCATTGGCTTGCCCTGGTTAGTAACAGAGTCTGGCATCACCCATACACTGTACAGACAATCCTTCAGTATCTTTGTGGGGTTGCTCAGATGAGTAACCTTGTGATGAATGTGTGATGTCACTAGCATGCAATGGTTCATCAAAAGTGATAAGGAACTGAGCACTCTTATAACTTTTACTAGCAAGATTTCCATGAGAACATTTTCAGCTTGACATCTGGACCATCTGGCTGGTGATGTGATGACGTCGTACGATGACGTTATGACCACAGGGCACATTATATGGTGCCCAGCACGTCCACTGCCGGCACTGAAGCCGTGGCCTCGCCACTCGTTGTGTCTGGTTTTAGTGCCGGGACAAATTTTTAGATTTCATGTTGCTGGTGGGGGATTTGAAAGCTCTGATTCAGCTCCGATTCGGCCGAAAAAGTGGTACAGTTTCGGCATGTGCCCCACTGTGATCGATTACAATAACAGCGTTGGCGATCACGCAACCATAATCATAAGTCAGCCATAACCATAGCCAGGAGCCAAAACTGAGTACAGTCAAAGGACTTTACCTGGGCCAGTTCAGACCATGGTTTATGACGCTTGCATGTGGATATTAAAGCACAGCTGTCTCATCAATGATACCGAGAGCTCAGTTGCTTGATTTCCGTTTGCAATTGTTCATGCTTGTCTCGTCTTCAAGTGCTATATTTTCGTATTTGGACACAAATCAGGATGGCCGACCCTACCAGGGTGCGATTTGCCCCGGAGTCAGTCTCCAACTTCACGCCAAATTAGGCGCGGGTCTGTGGCTGGACGGTCGGTATTCGACCTATAAGGCGTCGGGCATTTGCCGGCCAGCCTGTGCTGACTGCCCCGCGTGCGGCGGCTCTGGCTCAGGAGTATGCCAGGCCTATTACCCGGGTACTGTTACCCAAGTCGCCGTGTGATATGCCGATGCCGTTATTGCCAGGTCGTTCTAGCGGTGAATATTACCCGCAGCCGTCGTGATTTTTTTTTTAACGTTTTCGCCCTTCACGGCCGCTGGTTCTTTCCCGCTCGGCGGTGGATGTCCTGCCTGATAAAACCTCGAGTTACGGTCTATACTGGTGGGGTGTCGGAAATCTGCCCAGTTGCCCAGCCCGAAATAATCCAAATAGCCTTGTATCTCCAACTACGGGAGGGATACGGGTGCTAAAAATGTAGGACCGATACTGGTGCAGCGAAGCGATTGGTCGAGGCAGGATCATTACCATTTGAAGCGTTGGCAATCGTCCCACCCTCGTGTACTGTGCACGATAATGTCGCATGTTGGACCGACTCTTGGATGTGGGGTTGAGTGTGAGCCTGTCGCTGTTTTTTCGTGTACGATTAGACGCTTGTAAGCCGCCCGGCACTCTCGTGTGTGTTTTCATTCCTTATGGTGGTGCAGTAACAGTACAAGCCCATCTGTGTGTGTGTGGGGGAGGGGGGAAGGGGCTGTTACGTTATATCCAAGGTATAGGGAGCTCGCAGTGCGTTTGGGTCCCCGACTTTATACGTCGTCGTCATTGGGACTTTACGACGCCCTCAGCTGCTGAGGCTGGATGGCGTCGCCTGCCTCACCCTGGCAGAAAGGGCGGGCACCGCCGGGAATCGAGCCCCGCTACCTTTTGTTCGCCAGGCGCGCAGCTTATCCACTACACTGCCGATACCCCCGGAATTCGTACGCCCTGGAGAGGTGCAAATTAGATAGTTGGAATCTCGCTTAATTCCGTGCCATGTTTGGAAATTTGGTAAAGAAGCCGGAAGCTGGGGCAAAGTTCGATTTCGTGCACAACGGATGTCGTGTTCTGTCGTAGTTCTCCGAACATCAGTGAAGTTCCGGTGCGTTCCGAAGTTCCGAAGTTCCCTGGCATCCGTTTGCTTAGTCTTTTTGATCGCTGTTTCCCCGGTATCCGTAATTCCTCTGATCGTGTATTGCTTTCAACATGAATAGAAGGCTCTCGCTGAAATTCCGCCACCCATTTTGGCTTCTGGTGCTGCCGTCGAGCAGCCCACCTCGATTGGTCGGGCAGACCAGAGCGGCCAGCCCGGTCGCCCAGCGCTACACCTGTCGTTCAGATGATTCATCTCCTATGACGTGGTTTGATAACTCTAAACCACCGGACGGCCTCTCTGTGTGACCGTCCTCAGCTGCTCGGCCGGAGGAGACGCGCTCAGCCTTGCGCGGCGCTCTGACCGGACCGGCGCGCTCCACAGGAGGCGGGCCCGACGCCGCGCACCAGCACGCCATGGGGGACGACGACAAGCCGCCGGCGCCGCCGGTGCGCATGGCCAGCGTGCGGCTGGGTGCCGGCGAGCCGAGCGCCGCGCCCCTGCCCGTCGACATGCGGCCGCTGCCGCGCGAGCCCGACGACGAGCGCAAGCGCCGGCTCAAGGCCAAGCAGGCCAAGAAGCACGCCGAGAAGCCGGCCATCTCGTACCCGACCAACTTCGAGCACACGGTGCATGTTGGGTTTGACCCGGTGACCGGCGAGTTCAGCGGCATGCCCGACTCGTGGGTGTCGCTGCTCTCCAGCGCCAACATCAGCGTGCAGGAGCGGCAGCAGAACCCGCAGGCCGTCATCGACGTGCTCAACTACTACGACGCGTCCACCAAGGACCAGGAGCAGCTCAAGTACATGGTGCCCAAGACGGTGGAGCACAACCCGCTGTGGTCGTCGCCCGAACGGGAGCGGCCGCCGCGCGCCAGCCTTGCGCCGGAGCCGGCGGCGGTGGTGACCGACAGCGCGCCGGCCGACTCGCGCCACGCTTCGGACGCGTCGGCGACGACGGCAAGCACACCGGATACGGCGTCCGGCGAGGTGGCCGAGGAGGAGAGCGAGGCGTCGCCGCCGCCGCCGCCGGTGGCCGCGCGGCCAGAGCGCACCAAGTCCATCTACACCAAGCCGATCGAGGAAGAGGAGGAGGAGGCGGCGCCGCCACCGTCGCCGCCGCCGCCGCCGCCGCCCACTAACGGCGCCCTCGACACCAATAAGAACCCGACGCCGGCGAAGCGTGACGGCGGCCGCGCGCGCGTGAAGATGACCGATGAGGAGATCCTGGAGCGGCTGCGCAGCATCGTGACGGTCGGCGATCCGCATAGGAAGTACACCAAGATGGAGAAGATCGGCCAGGGCGCGTCCGGCACGGTCTTCACGGCCATCGAGACGGCCACCGGGGTCGAGGTGGCCATCAAGCAGATGAACCTGTCGCAGCAGCCCAAGAAGGAGCTCATCATCAACGAGATCATCGTGATGCGCGAGAACAAGCACCCGAACGTGGTCAACTACCTGGACAGCTTCCTGGTGGGTGAGGAGCTGTGGGTGGTGATGGAGTACCTGCCGGGCGGCTCGCTGACCGACGTCGTGACGGAGACGTGCATGGACGAGGGCCAGATCGCGGCGGTGTGCCGCGAGGTGCTGCAGGCGCTGCAGTTCCTGCACGTCAACCACGTCATCCACCGCGACATCAAGTCGGACAACATCCTGCTCGGCATGGACGGCTCTGTGAAGCTGACCGACTTCGGCTTCTGCGCGCAGATCTCGCCCGAGCAGACCAAGCGCACCACGATGGTGGGCACGCCGTACTGGATGGCGCCCGAGGTTGTGACGCGCAAGCAGTACGGCCCCAAGGTGGACGTCTGGTCGCTGGGCATCATGGCCATCGAGATGATCGAAGGCGAGCCGCCCTACCTCAACGAGAACCCGCTGCGCGCGCTCTACCTGATCGCCACCAACGGCCGGCCAGAGGTCAAGGAGCGCGAGAAGCTGTCGGGGCCGTTCCAGGGCTTCCTCGACCTCTGCCTGGAGGTGGACGTGGAGCAGCGGCCGCAGGCGGCCGAGCTGCTCAAACACCCGTTCATGAAGACGTGTCGCCCGCTAGCCAGCCTGCACCCGCTGATTCTGGCCGCTCGCGAAGCCGTCAAGGGCCACTGATGGGCGCGATCGGCAGGTCGGACGGCCAGCCCGGTCTGCCGGCCGATCGCTAACGGCATGTCCGCCGCCAACGGCTGGTGCGGGGACCCTCGTCTAGCTCCAGAGGCGGGCCGTGGCGGTGACGGTCTCTCGAGGCGCCGGCGCGTAATCCTCTCCCTCCCAAGTACTCGCGTGAGCGGGATATTAGCCAACTTTGTGCCAGTGGGTGTCGCCTGAGTCAGCGCTTGTGCGAGACTGTCTTCGGATGTCTGCGCGTCGATTGTTGTCTGCTTATCAGGTGAGCGCGTCGTGGCTGCTCTTGCGGCACGGTTTAGTCAAGTTCTCAGTGCACTGTAGTCTGTGATCTAGCGAGGCAGGCGTGTCGCCGTCGCTTGCATGCGACTCGCCTCGCCTTCCAGTGTCATGGAGGTCGCGTCCTCTACACGATCGTGTATGAGTTTATTGTGTTGTTTGTTAATCAGGCGTCTGTCGCAAATCCTTTTATCATTATTTTTTTATTTGTTACGCAATTGGCAGGTGATATCTTGGCCGCTCCTCGAATTTATCGCTACTTACTCGTAGTGCCCCGTATTGCTTTTGTCTCAACTGCCAGTTTCTGTGCTTCTGGCATTGGAACCTTGATTGTTACGACTTGTGTCTTAGTGCCGCACACGGGCAACAAGTGATTTGCCACAACAGCTACATTTACATATTAATTCGTCTAATGTCATTAGATCGTGTATTTTGACAGCATTTTTAATAAATAGAACTACTTCGTCGCTGTCGTTTTTCAGCATCGTGGCTCAAGCAAGCATCAAGGACGCTGCTGACAGGTTGCGGGGTAGCATGGTATGATGTGATATCGCGCTGATTTGACTGATAGGCAGCCCGTTCAATGACTTGGCAAATGCTTATCAGCACGATGAGGTGGTGAGGCGACACCACATGGCTAACGATGACATGTCTTGTATGCGATGGACTTCCGGTCTTGTGCACAAGCCTTGAATCATCTGGGGCTCGAGGTAAGTGGCCCGGGCATGCCACTCATGGCGCTCCTCCAGTGAAAAACGAGCACCGCCCACGCCGTGGGGTGTGAATGCATGGCAGCCCGAAAAAGCACAGCGTAATCTGTTTATTTGAGGCCACCCGTCCCAAGAAGCCGGAATTACCTTTGGAAGAGCTGTATTCGCTTGTGGGCCGTTCAGGGACGTCGGCAAGGTCGAGGCAATGCCTTTGGAACCGGGCCGTTTAGCCGGCTCACGATCTGGGGTGGTCAGTCAGGGTGGACGCTGCAACGTGCCACTGTTTGAGGCCATAACCGGCAATCTCAACGGAAAACACCTTACAACTCTTCCAAGTTCCAAAATTCTCACGTTATCGGCGCGGTGAAGTGGTAGGGGTTGCAGCTGTGGCATGATCCCAATTTTAGGAGATGCTGTCCATTGTGATGTGCGCCCTACGGACATACTTGCACGCCATTGATGATCTCCCGGCTCTGCCTGTGACTGGGAATGGTAGGCTGGTTACGTGGGAATCCGGTGCAAGGTTTATGTTTGCCGGCGAATGTTGCCCGGTCCAAGGCACGGGAAGCGAATGTCAACGCATTTTCATATAACCGTACATATCAACGACACTCAGGTAGATAGAACACAGCAGTATGCACAGTAGAGGAAGTGGCCATCCGATTAGTATTCAGCACCACAACAGGTGACCCCCTGGCACTGGTAGGTACTTAAGCGCATATATTTCCTGAGCAGTTGATGTTTGCAGTGATGGACTGGGACTTGAGGACTTGAGCATTTGGGACTTGAGCATTTGTCTCCACGAGGAGATAATGTATGGGAGGGTGGACGTGTAGCCATAATTTACCATTGCATGCGACGCGGGAGGTTTAATTTCATGTGAGACAGTCCCAACTCCTCTATAGCCCCTTACGCACGGCAAATCAACAAGCAGACCCCACAAACGCTAACAGGCGCAGTGCCTACGGTGGTTTGTTCTGCTGTGGACACCACCTCGCCTCAGCGCCATCTATTGTTACACCCGGTGGCGCCATCTGCCCCCAAGTCCGTCAGCGTGGCGGGTTCTCACCACCGTCGGCCACCAGCCTGCCAACTGTGTACGGCACGCCAGTGGAGCAATGACCTGACGGCCACCTGGACCACGGACAAGACGGTGTCCTACGACTCGCTGCACCGTCTGGCCTGGGACATAGCGCTCAGCTGGGTGGCGCTCACCTGCGTCAACGCATGCCGAGGTACGACCGGCGAATGTTCCGGGGTATGGAGATTTAACACGCGCTCGGATGGGGGAGGGGGTCAAATTGACCCTCCAAAGGTTTTTCCAGAATGCTTTCTGAACGGCGCGGCGTAGCCGCGCTAAATTTTGTATAGCTGTGGACAATTGAACAGCAGATCGTTTGGTATGCAAATTTAGATGTACCTTGTAAGGTCGCTGACCTATGGCAGGTCAAAGTCAGTCCATGGTTTCAGCGAAGACAATTTCTAGGAAATCCTTCAATCTGATCCAACGCTGGGGTGCTAGACGAAACCATACATCGCTGAGTGGCGTTCCTAGGCAACACAACAGTTGAAGGAGCAAAAGGTCTGGTATAAAGGTCACACCAAAGTCAAAACCAACCTGCTTTGTTACTCTAGGGCTTGCTATATGGGATAGCTTCTGGTGCTCATTTTGAGTTAATTGATAGCAGGAACCACATTTCGCATCTTCCATGGACTTCTTAGGGATCGGAGTAGGTCATTGACCTAAAATGACTCAGGTCAACATTTTGTTTTAGGTACATACTGCCTAGCATAATTTTTGTCGCTTAGTCAAATGCAAAACTCAAAGCAATCTTGTGTTATTTTGGTTACCTTGACCTTCAAAAGGTCAAATAAGGTCACTGACCTTGAATGGGAATGTGACCTTCTGCTTAATAACGATTATCTAGGTTCTGGGGGCACAAAAGAGACCGACCTGGAACTTGACCTTGTTTGACCTTTTTGCCCCGAAGGGCATGACTTAAGAACCTGAAACTTTGATCTAAGTGAGTTCACGTACGAGTCAACACATCCTGTAAATTTGGTGTCTCTAGATTTCTTAGTTCCTGAGATGTCAGCGGGGTCAAATTGACCTCTGTCCACCCGAGCGAAGGGTATCTAGCTGGCCACCCGGGCGCGTGTTAACGAAGAAATACCGGCCCCGTCGTAATGGGCGGGTCTCGGAACGGATCAAAATGCGCCTGCCAAGATCTGCATTCGCTGCTGTTTCCCGGCTCTCTTTGCATCCCGTTTAATGAAATTTACCCTTTCAACCGAACGAGCCTGAAAAGCTTATTTGCAATTCGTGCTAATTACCCTCTCCTTGATTCTGTCGTCGTTCATTAATGCAGGCAAGTTTGCCTCGTGTAGCAGCCCGTAAAAAACATTACTTTAGAGAGTAAGGCAAAGTTCGCGCGGTATCGCAGCCCGTGTACTCACATGCCACCATGGGCATTTTACTCTCGCTGCTCATCACACAGAAGTTAACAGTTTCCCAGACGGTAGCGCGCGCTGCGGCCCGCGGAGAATGGAGGATTGTTTAAAATGATACGTGGTTTGGTACGTGGAGGGCCGTTCTGACTGCCTCTTGGCTCGGACAGATTTCAGAATTCGTGGGCATGGTCTTACCGTAAAAACTTTCCCTTCATGCGTAACGGAATTTTTGCACAACCCCTTTTAAGGGATTTTTAGCAGGGAAAACCTCTCACGATGCTGGACCCGAAATGGGTTCATTTAACCATCCTAAGATTCGAATTTTCCTTAGTTTTAGCTGATATGCATGGGTTTAGAGAGCAAACGACAAAGAATGTAGCGAGGTGGCATGACGGGCCTAGGGTGGGGCAGAATAATTGTGAGCGGAGGGCCGCAACCCCCACGTCCGCAGGTGTGGGAACAGGGGGGAGGGGCCATACCCTCACTTTTCAGGGGGGGGGGGGGGGCAGTCATGTCAGCTGGTTCCCCACTTCGCATCACTGATCTGAGTTTTGCTTACTTTGGTGTATTTCTAAACAGTGAGGTCTGAATGGGGACCGCGTAGTTCGAACGTGTGTGGAAACGATGAGGTGCCGGTTAAATGACGGTTAAATGACGTTACGGTGCAAGCATTGGTTTCATTGACAGTGCTCGATGTTTTAAGCTTGGCTTATGCTCACAAGTGACAAAGGTTGAGTAAGGTTAAAGAAACGCTACTCTTGAAGACTAAAACACATAAACCCAAAAATGCTCCCAATGTGTGCAGTGTCACCATAATATATCAAATAGAACAAATCATGGGAACAATTTTTTCCTTTTATTCATTCCCCGTAGTTACATTTCGTAGTTGGAATGTTTATAGAAGCAATTGTTTGAGGATGCTGCTTCGCTCAATTCGTTCGACAAGCAATTTTGCCTGCATCTGTCCCAGGGATTCCTTACGTGCCATCCAATGTTTTGACACGGTCTCGCGGTGAAGCCCTGTAAACCCTCAACCTTGGAGTCTTGGAGGCATTGGAACCGGTATGTGGATTTGGCCCTTTATTGATATGAAGCTCTCTCTTGTGAGACTAAGGTGATGAAAGCCCCGTGTGACGAGGGATAATATAAAAATCGTGACACTTCAATTAGGTCATTTATTCAGTACATTTGCTGGCCACACCATTTGTATGTAGACATTACCAAACTCAGTGTCTCTTTTGTGAAGGCTTAAAGCCATTGAATGCTTGAAAGGGGTTTTCACCGGGTACGTGACGCCTCTTACCACCACTACGCTACATCCCACTCCATCACGCAATGTCTAAACTTCTGCCGTACTCCAGCTGCATGCTGCAAACCGCCTTCGTGGGATAAGACAGCCGTCAGCGCATGCTGGCATGGCTCACTCGTACTTCTAACCTATCTCTCATAACATAAGAATTAAGCTGCACATGCGCTCTCACTGGCCAGCACACTGTCTGAACGATGGCAGAATGGGACACGACGAGATGGGCAGCGAGGAGTTTCACTGGTTCGCCAGCTGGTCCACAAAGGTGAGGTCAGTGCCGCGTAGGTTCTCGGCGATCCATGCGTCCATGCGTCGCCCCATCTCGGGCGTGAAGTGGTTCTTCCAGTCGCCCGTCTTGCCTGCGAACAAGCAGACATATGGTCTCAGCATCTCGGGGTGGTGTTGGTCAGCCGTAATCACTTGTGATTACCCATGCCCTCGGTGAAAATTCCCTACATCGAACAAGGGCATGACAAGGATGTGATAGCATTGCACGCACCCTAGCTGATGTATGTACCTACTGCGTGCAGTCAGACACTGTGGTTTACTATTTAGTGTCACATCATTTTGCTGGCGCCCACACAGGCACTTCACATGACTGTGAGGAGATGGGCTCAGTTCCCTGGTCGTGTTAAACTGTAAAGCGGTGAGAGATGTCTTTTGCTGTCTATGGCACGATCTCAATGGGTGATCATCGACTTGTACGAATGGAATGAAAACTAGAAGCATGCTCTGACGGGGCTGCGCAGGCATATCGGTTTTCAAGATGGCTATCAGAAAATTCACATTGACGGCTTTACCTATGTGTGGCCTGGGTATGCCTGTTCAGAAATTTTGCTCGTAAAAATTCTAGCATGACCGACATCGGATACTGATACGGATACGGATACGGATACGAATACGGATACGTCTACGAATCGTACCTCATGTCATATTTTGGGGAAGGGCTCGTGGGGATTGTTGCTTACCCTTTCTTACAAATGACCTTTCTGGGTCAGCAAACCCCGGTATTATCTTCAAAACTTCGTTGTTGACGAAGGGATTCTTCTTGAAGTTGTCAAAGTGGAGATGGTGTGCCAGATCGTCTAGCTGCTGCTCTGACAACGTCTTTCCAAGGAAAGTGGCCACTTTGGAGACTGACCCCTTCAAATCCTGCCGGGTAGTGACGTCAACGGTTCTGAGATTGCGCATACATTATCAGATGAAAGCATACTGCGGTCAGGGTCGTAGATAAACGCATCGTTAGTGAAGTCAGCTGGTCCAGCGAGCTCTGAGTACAGTTTTCCGCTCCCGTGGCATCTCTGGTCAGTGGTCAGCGATCGCTTCAGGTCACATTTTTGGGTCTCCTACATTTGGGAATATTGGCTGGAGCCCATTTTTCATCGTCATTTTGCCCCGTCATAACTCCATGTTTCGCTGAGACTTACTCGTTTCATGTCTTCGAAAAATAAGAAGCACATGTTCGGATGGTGTCTGAGGTTCCACGCCTCCAGCACGTGGGGGAAGAACGGCACCTCCAGGGCTGTTGGGAATGTCACAACGCAAAATGATTAACTGACTGATCTTAGATGCTTGACGCAATCCTAAATGTATTAAGGCGATAGTAAACCAAATGCACAGTGAGTGACTTAAGACAACGACATCTTCAGTCACAGAGCGCCACTTGCTTTATGCGAGGATGGTTTTGACTTCATGTCTGGACGCATTAACCACCATAAGTAGCCCCAAACCAAGCGCGAACAAAATGTACTTAAATCCAGTGCCGACCAAAAAAGGAGGCCTAGTCGGCCTCCTTCTTAACGCCTTGCAAGCAAGCGTATTTGGGCACAGACTTTGTTACGCTTGTGTCACCACCGATTGTGGTGACACAAGCGTGACATGTCGGAAGTAGCGAATCATACCTTGCCCTTTGATGAAGTACTCGAACAGAGTTTCCAAATCGGAGTCAAACCCCTGCATTTTCAGAAGTTTCAGGTGGTTGAAGTACGACACGAGCATGTCCTTCGGATTTCGAGCTACGTAGACCACCTGTCAAGAACAATTCCGGAAATTAAAAAAGAAACCAATCCCCATTGCGTACGGGAACTGCGTGCATACGACTTAGGTCTGCATGGCACTTCGGTAATGTAAATTTCGTGTCCTTGGTCATAGCTGCCCACGCTGATGACAACATTTACTGTGCGCTGTGCTGTGCATCCATAGAAATGTTTGGCTTTCGTACTGCACCAATTTCGCAAGGCGTTAACGTGTCAGACTATGGAAAAGGTGCTGGTATACGCCTTCACATCTTACGTGATAAAAACGTCAAGAGTGGGGTTGTCCCTGATTTGGGAAAGATGATCGTACTTTTGCTTTGCTGAGTAGATCAGGTGGAGTCAGGGACAAGGGCAGGTGCGTCTTGACGAAGCGCCGATGCCCCAATTGCATAGTTGTTAGGGAGGATACATCAAAGGGCAGTTGTGGCATCAGCTCCTTGGCTTTCGCGACCAAGCGATTTACGTGGTCGGGATCATGGAGCATGGCAAACCTGCGGGGAGAGACGGTTCGCGCAAAACATGACATGTTGACACGTGCTAGTGATGTTTAACTAGTCATGTCTTACTAGTTCGCCCCCAAAATGCTCGAAACATCATGGTCAACAAGAGATCCGACCAATTTGTGGAAGTTAAACATTTGGATATGCATTCGGCTACATTCTGATGCTGGCTTCTTATTAGTTATCGTTATAATGCAGCATGCTAAGAGCGTCACCAAATGCATCAGGCTTTACGCAGTTTACCTGATAGGTTTGTAGGTTTGTGCGGAGAACAGGCGTCAAGCATCCTATCAGAGCATATATCAATTATCATATCCTATCATCCTTCCATATCATATTGCATATCATATATGATACGCGATAGAGCAACCACAACTTCGGCACCGTGCTACTCACTCCAGGAAATGGAACCTTTCGTGAAGAGGGCTCTTTGCTCCCTCGAAGTCCACGTCGTTTGCCAGGAGCCAAACCATTTCCTGGGTCCAGGTTGTTCCTGCGAGCGGACCGGTCCCAGTGACTCAGCTTGTACAGCGGAGCAGCAGTGCCATGAGCACTTGCCCGCTGGTCAAGTCGACTTTGCTCCGTCCAACTCGCGGCTGCAAGTATGACCAAGTGCGCGGAAATGCATTACAGCACAAGATCGAGCAGGTGAAACACAGGCCGGAGCGGTGATTTCCACCACAGACCTCAGTACGACCCATGGCTACCACAGGGCACGCGCCGTCGACGCAGGCGTCACCTACCACACTTGGGCAGCGTCACCACCCAGACGTCCCCCTTCTGCACGGGCTGGTTGTAGGCTTGTGCCAGCATCTCCTCGGTGACGTGGCCCATCAGAGCGAAGTCCCAGTGGTTCACCTTAACGAACCCCTTGGGGAAGCCTTGGCCGAAGTCCTTAGCCACCTTCTTGTTGGAATTCATCGTCGCACGGGACGCACCTTGAACGGGAACTCGTGACGAGCCGCCATGGTCGATCTGGGGGAAGATGGCTATGCGTCAGACGCCTCTATTGAAGCGGTAGTGGTGCACAGACCGGCGTTGAGTTCCGGGCGAGGGCCCAAGCCCGGGCAGACTCGTATTCCAGTCCAGGCTCACGTCCTTTTGGGACTCAGGCTCAGGTGAACCGACTTATTTTATAGGCGAACGGGACTCAGACTCAGCCGAAGCCTATACGAATCAGGCTTGAGTTCAGACTTCGATCCGAATCATTGAACTATTTAATGTCATATCGTGTACGGGTCCTGTCACTCAGCTAATCGAAAGAACTTGATAAGTGAGAAGTCACTTGTAGAGTAGAAGTAGTAGAAGAAGAAGAGCAGAGTAGAAGAGAAGTGACTACTCAAGTAGTCACTTGAGTAGAAGACATTTGCGTATCTTCAGCCACACCACAAGCATCAGACAAAATTGTGCTGATCATTTATGATAATAAAGAAATGGCACTGACCATGAAACCTCTGATACTGTTTACAACTCAGCTTTCGGGTCACTGGATGCATTTGAAAGAAAACACCTCGCCCGAAGGAAAGCGCTCATGGTGTTGGCAAGGACAACAAAAACGATGCAAGTACTAACTGTTCCAGTTTGGTAACGTGGTGTCACACCAGGCGGTGTTTTAGCGGTTTGGCTGTGTTTTAGCTAGGATGGGCCGGAGGAAATAGTGTTTACTCATTGCAGCCTTCCTCGTTTTCATACCTGACGATATTTCTCCATGAAGAGCGACAGACTGGTAATTTGTTTATCTGCCAATCAACCTGGCAATATTTTTCCAGCGCGGTGCCGCAAAATATTGGTGGACCCGGACTAAATGCCCTGGGACTCTTCCTCTGACTGTGGCTCGAAACCATAGCACTCGAACCCACGTGCCGTGAGGACAAAAGGCCCCGGATGCACGGACTCCTGAACCCCTGCCCGATTAGGACAGTCGGCACAGCATGCTCCGCAGTTAACCGCGGAAAAATCTCAGGGTCAGCGCGCAGGAGATCCGGCGCAGTTCATGACGTACTATTATTTGCTATTTTGTCTAGCTTAGGCCAACTGATTTCCCCGGTAATGCACTGAACAACTTATTTCCTGATATTTGCGGCGTTCTTTCACGCCATGTATATAAATTTCACTTTCACGCCATGTGTATAAATTTCAACTACCACGTATACATTACATACAAGGAAAGACAGAGGTCGCAGCTCCTATCCACCTCTAGTGGATACAGAAATGCTCCATGAAATGAGAGGGCATTTGAAATTGCATTATTATCTATGCCACCTACGTCCCAGTGCGGAGTCAACGAATCCAACTGATTCTGAGACCGGGCGAAAAGTGCCTACAAGCATGACCAGCGTAATCAGGATGAGAGCGAGGGCCACGAACCTTCCTCCGTCACAGAGCGACGGAGGAAGGACAGAACCTGACGGGCTGATCGCCTCACCTACACAGTGCGGGTTCAGCAGCATTCGTATTTCGCCCGACGCGCAACGATGAACTGAGTGCTGCCTTCGCGCTGTTCTGTATGTTATATATACGGTGTACGTGAAGCCTGTGTGCATATATTAGCTCATTCGTGGTAACTGATTTGGTCGTACGTGTTGTACGCTGTACGCTGTACGTGTCGTACGCTGTCGTAAGTGGGCGACATAAAACGTAGCCATAGGCGTGAAGACACAAACGTGGCCACCGGCTATGCCAAAGAGCGCATGATTTGATTATTCATGGACGAATCTAGGGAGCCAGACCAGGGGAGCCCTGTACTGCAAAATGCAAGTGATACCCGTATCCAACCTTATTTTGGGATAGTGAACGGGCACGGATGTAACAATTCCTCGCCTACATCCGATGCCCAACCCACTGATGCGTTTCAACTGACAACTCCGTCACAGACGTCTTCGAGGCCGGCGTCACCGTGGCACTCACCAGGCTCGATCTGCGCTGCGCCAATCCCCGCACACAGTCTGTCACTGAGCGCACCGTCTCGCCGTCAGCCTGCCGGGAGAGGCGCTCGTCCAAGGTCCGTGGCTGATCTCAGCCCGCTTTCCCTGGCACGGCCATGACGAGCAGGATCGCGCGGGGCATATTTGTTTGGGGGAGGGGGAGGGGAGCGGAACCCGCCTTGACTTGTTGACCTGTGATTGGTTGATAGTGCATCAGCGCGAGAGGGGTGATACCACGGCTGTTGGCTGCAGGCTCGGTGTGGAGGCACTCGGACAGGGGACGAGGGCGCGCAATGCTTACTCAGCTTTGTGGCTTATTTTTTGGGTGGGCGGGTGAGGGGGCGACGAGACTGCTGTTCTGCAATGCTGGTTTGTAAGCACAAACATCACACGAGGTGTGGATGGGGGGGGGGGGGCAGGTGAGGTGAAGGGCAGCGGCGCACCCAAGGAGACAGCACACTTCCCTCCCCCCCCCCCCCCTCTGAGAGCACCTGAAACATTGTGACGGCTGAGGTGTCCTTGTTACAGAAGCAGACGGGGTGCGTTACAAACCCCAGCTGCAGCGGTACCCCTAAGCCCAGGTGAACGAGTGGCAGAAAGCCCAGGCAGAGAGACGCCTTAAACCCAGAGGACTTAACTCATCGTCCACAGCCCTCGTAGATTTGCATCTCCCGATCTAGGGCAATACTGCATCCCAAGCTTAGACATAGCAGACCGAAGACTTGGCACACACTCAGTCCGAGTCTGAGGGGATGTCCCAGACTCCAGGAGGTGTGGCACCCCGGAGTCGAGAAAGGATGTCTTAGAACGCCGGCGCCCGATGTCCCGGCGGAGGGGCGGAGGAGCGCTATCAAACCCATGGTAAACGGGACCCGGGGCCCAAGTACAGGTGAAGATTAATTGCTATTAAGGGCGCGTAGGCACTAGGTCAAATTTGCCCAACTCTCAGGTGCTCCGCAGGCTAAGTGAAGAGGCGCCTCTAATGTAGGCAAGTAGATGCTGATAAGCGCGTGCGAAGGAGCACTTAATAAAAGCATGTTTATGTTAGCATGCTAACATGCTATAAGCATGTTTGTGCTCACAAGCCGAAGTGTGGGACGTGTCCACTCTGCAGTCGGGTGGGAGTCCCAAGTCCAACTGCAGGCGCCCGCAGAGCTCACAACGGGGGCGTCTCTGAAGTCAGCCAGGTGTGCACACATAAACGTATGCAGAGTTGGAAACACATCTCCGTCTGTTTCCGCGTTTTCCCGCAATCTCAGAGAGGGTCGCCTGAGGTGTGCTAGGAGGCCGCCCACAAACAACGGAACACCCCAAGCCAGGTCAGAATGAAATCCTCCCCCCAGTGAGCGAGGCGACTGTAAACCAGTGGAGTCGGTCTCTATTGATCAGCGCAATTCGCAAGTTATATTAGAAAACGTAGCGGGAAGTTCTCTGATAAGTTAACGGCAACTAAGGGTGTTCTAAGACCTTTTAAACAGACGTGCTTGAAACTAAATAAAGCAGAGAGGAGAGTATAGTAAAGGGAAGAAAAAACTAAGAGGAGAAGGGGAGTGCGGAGAAGATGAGAAGAGTAGTAACATAGGAGGAAATAAATGGATAAGTACTTCTCTCATTTGGGGAAAGCTCCGAACCTAGGTAGAGGGACGACTGGAACTCAGGTAAAGGGCCACCTTGGTGCCTTGAACCAAGACATGTGCCGCAGAAAACTGAAGCGGGGTTGCCCTCAAACGACGTTGGGGGTGGGGCTGGAGTGGGGGTGAGATGGTGGTGGGGGGGGGGGGGGGGGGTAGGCGGGGGGCTCAAGGTAAGGGAGCCTTCACCTTAGTGTCTTTATCTGGTGTCTTATTTTGTATCTTAGGTATCTGGGATCACGGCGGAATTTATGGTGAATCGGTGACCGCCGTAATTTTTAGTCAGGGATAGACATTAGGATGCGTCATCGAGAGGGTGAATCTCTTGGAATCAGCTGAGGCAAAGTTTTTCCTTGGCACACGGATTAATGCTGAACTTTCAGGCCTGTCGCACGCACCAATGTTGATATTCGTGGGTAGCGAGCAGTTTTTCTTTCATAGGCCAAGAAAACCGTATTCGATACTAGCGCCACCTATTTTACGCGCCGGGGTCATCATCCAATACGCCTCAAAGCTGCCACTTCCCGCGCTACTGGTACTTGGTGGATTAAGTATGAAATAGGTGTCATGAAGGGCACCAGCAAAGCATTGCCAAACAGCTTTTAAGCTGACTTTTTAGTAAGAAACAATTTATTTTTGGTAAAACCCAAAGCTGCGCAATTATGAAAATGCTGTAGCATACCGGGTTAGGCTCAAGTCTGTTATCGCTAGCGCATCATTGTGATGTTTATTACAATTTATGTGTTTTTTGTGCGGGAGATACGGGTTTATAAGTTTAATTTTACCGGTACGTAAACGCTTCTTTCAAACAATTACTTGCATAAGCATGCCGAAGGCTAAACGGTCGCACAGAAAACATTTTGCGATAGGCCACCCGGCTCCACTGTACCACCACCGACTGCCGACTACGGGAAAGCCTGGAGCTACATGAGGTGTCTGAGCGAATCGAAAATGAATCTCACTAATACCATCTTCAAGACCGTGACGGTAGAAACCAGGGAACTGTGGACCAACGAAACCATCCCCGTTCATGATCTAAAATGGGTGACAAAGTTGCTCGAGAGGGATTGATATCATCCCAATAGAGCTATCAGCAAGAAATCAAAGAAAAAGAGTGTCACAGCAACGCCGCCACCTCGCAATTCAACAAGCTTCTTGATGTCGCGGAACGCAAGTGCAAGCTTCAGTGCAGCTTGCCGTGCCCAGTTGCCTGCACAGTGTATCAGGAGGAGTTGCCATGGGGGACCAGTGCAGGCACCGGAAGCTTACTCTGGGTAACCGGGATACGATTGTGACTAGGGAGGCTCGCGATGTCCGGAGGATGGCCAGACAACTTCAGGGGTGTCGTGGGTCGGTCGCCAGTGAGGCGGTGTCTGCTGCTGAACCTGAGTCGCCTTCCCCGCCGGCTGCTGAGCCGGCGCCGCCTGCTGAGCCAGCGTTGCCTGCTAGTGCTGACCCCGAGCCTGCTCCGGGACCAAGTGGTCTCAGCGCTGGCGAGTCAGCCGAGAGGACAGGTTCTTACACGGTTCCGTACACGGTGGAAGGTGGTGACGACACCTATTGTTTGTTCCGGATGAGAACATTGCCGATGTAGATCATAGCGTTAACGATCTGACTTATACCACGCTGGCGGTTGACAGCTGCGGTGGCTCGAACCGGGCCACTGCTGCTAGCATCAACGCCTTTCAACAAGACAGCAGGGCTGGACTGGCTACTTGAAATCAAATATCGTGGATCCTAAGAAGATCTGCTGCGCAAGAGACAGAGCGGGAATAGAGACGGCTCGTTAAGATTTTGGAGCAATCCATGAGTCAAGTTTGACCATCCTCTACTCCGACGGCCGTGAAGGCAGGAACTACATGAGCCACACGGAGCCAGACGAATGCCGTCGAAAAACACGTGGTTGTCATCACTGAGCCAGGCAGCCGCCACGTGACTCATTTTACGTCCGAGTTCGGCCGCGCCGTGCACTTGTTCAGCTGCACAGCGGTAACGGCCGCTGCTTGCTGCACGGCAACGAGCTGAACCTCTTCCATCTGCTGCTGAGCCTGGATGGTGCGACCACGGGATCAAAATGTTTTTCTGGACCCATCGGTAAGGCCTGTGCTGGGGAGGTCTGAGAGAGGGACGTTGTGGCATTCAAGCCTAGGTCGGGGCCCGTGCCAAACCTGCCGGTCGACCTGACTCAGCAGCTGAGCACCAACCAGCAGCTGCTGTACCTTTTGGCCTCCGGCGTTCAAAACGGCTCTGTCTGAAATGTGGCGGCCCAGCGGCGAATCGGACCATCGAATCATGTCAGATGAATATGAAAACGCATTATCCTTAAAGTTATAGCAATCAGTGTTTAAAGTTCATCAAGTATCAGTTGATATTTCGTACGTTCACTGTTGATAATTTTCTTATTATCATACCTTGTGCCATGTTATTTTGCATCATTTGCTAGTTGGTTTATGCTTACTAACATATTTTTTGATATGCATTCCGTCACATTTAAGGACTCTGGCATAATTACATACACTAAAGGGGCACAATAAGTTTGCAAGATCTAATGCTCAGTTGGTAGCAAATTGTTCCAATAAAATCGCTTTTGTTTTCAGATGGTTGACACCGGCCGCTCGCCTGTTCCTAGTTTGCGTCTCTACCGAGACCTCCATCAGCGCTCTCAAAGACCTCGTCCAGTGCGTGGTCGGCCACTATGTGCCGGTATGGTCCGCCATCCGGCAAAACAGCGGCTGCGACTTTGGCTTACGCAGCTTGTTCCGGAGCATCGCGGCGCTCCGCGACCTGCTGCGGCACACGTAGTCCTCCAGCATAGCGGGTGCTGAGTCCGTCCGGAACAGCTGCTGCTGAGCATGATGTGGCATGAGAACCGCATGATCCGCGAACAGGTGGTTCCGATCGTCGCGCCGCTCGTGAGCAACAAACCGAGGGTCTTCTTCAGACCAGGGTCTTCGCCATCTCAACGGTCGAGGCCGTGAGGTACACCGAACTGATTCCCTGGCACGGACCAGTCACACAGCCTCTACTGCGAGACCTCAGCGACCGCGAGCTGCGAGACAAAGTGCAGGCACCGCTGATCATCTTGCCTACCTGGCTCACATTAGGAGTGGAACGCAGCGCCGCACTGCCGAGGACGTCTGCGGCTGGAGCTGGAGCTTCGGCAATATGTGGAGCCCAGCTGCGACAGTATTTCTGCTACCGTGCGATCTCTGCCAACACGCGTTTTGCGTTTCCTGTCTGTGAGTAGTTGCTGTTTGGGCCGGTGCATCGAATACACAGGCTCGGCAAAGAGCAAGATGTGCCTAGGGTCATCCTGCCGTCTCTACGTTCGTGGTACAGGCGGCAGAACTTGCTGTATGTATCAAGTCGTACATCAGAGAATATATTTTGAGTTATACGCTATGTATAGTTTTGTCTGTATCACGTGAGTTGTCCT